CCATTTCCACCCCAAACATTCCCATTTCCATCCCAAACATTCCCATTTCCATCCCAAATATTCTCCATTTCCACCCCAAACGTTCCCCATTCCCTATTTCCATCCCAAACATTCCCCATTTCGGGATTGGCCTCCCTGGGTGTTCTCGGAGTGGGGTTTGGGGTCGGGGTCACTGTAGGACCATCCTGTCCCTGTCCTGTCCCTGTCCCCTGGATCTCAGTGTCCCCTGTCCTGCAGGTCCCTGGAGGAGTCCGTGGGGAAGCCCCTTTATCTCATATTCCGGTACGTTCCTAAATCCCAAATCCCAAATAACACTGGGATCATCAGCTCTGTCCCAGTGCTGATCCCAAAAAAAACAGGAATTCTTCGCTTCATCCCACTGCTGTCTTATGGGAAGCCAGGGGTTCCTGTGGGGTTTCTTAGGGATTTCTATGGGATTTCTGTGTGGTTTCTGCAGGGTTTCTATGGGGTTTCTGTGGGATTTCTGTGGGTTTTCTGTGAGGTTTCTATGGGATTTCTGGGGGGTTTCTGCAGGGTTTCTGTGGGGTTTCTGTGAGGTTTCTATGTGGTTTCTATATGGTTTCTATGGGGTTTCTGTGGGGTTTCTGTGCAGTTTCTGCGGGGTTTCTATGTGATTTCTGTGGGATTTCTGTTAGGATTTCTGTGGGGTTTCTGTTGGGATTTCTGTGGGGTTCCTATGGGGTTTCTGCAGGGTTTCTATGGGGTTCCTGTGGGATTTCTATAGGGATTTCTGTGAGGTTTCTGCAGGGTTTCTGTGGGGTTTCTGCGGGGTTTCTGTAGGGATTTCTGTGGGGTTTCTGTGCAGTTTCTGTGGGGTTTCTATGAGATTTCTGCAGGGTTTCTGTAGGGATTTCTGTGGGGTTCCTATGGGGTTTCTGTGGGGTTCCTATGGGATTTCTGTGCAGTTTTTTCAGGGTTTCTGTGGGGTTTCTGCGGGATTTCTGTTGGGATTTCTGTGAGGTTTCTATGGGATTTCTGGGGGGTTTCTGTGGGGTTTCTGTGCAGTTTCTGTGGGGTTTCTATTGGGTTTCTGTGGAATTTCTATGGGATTTCTATGTCGTTTCTCTGGGGTTTCTGTGGGCTTTCTATGGGATTTCTGTGCAGTTTCTATGGGGTTTCTGTGGGGTTTTGGGGAGTGGGACCTGTGTGTCCCAACAGAGAGCCCCATCCCCATGACCCTGTGTGACATTTCTGTGTCCCCTGTCCCATCCCGGTGTCCCCAGGAACCTGTGCCAGATGCAGGAGGACAACAGCGGTTTCTCTCTGCTGTTGGATTTGCTGTCGGAGCTGTACCAGAAACAGCCCAAGATCGGTTACCACCTGCTCTACTACCTGAGGGCCAGGTGAGCC